TGTGAGATCAAGTGCAGCTTTGCTTTAAGAATAACTTCTTTCTAATGTTCGATCTAAGGCTTGTGTGGATTTTTGCTACTGTTTAGACTTTTCCATTTTGTCTATAAGCACAGCAGGGGAAAGTGGCAATGGGTAGTGTTATTTGATTTTATTTTATTCTGATTTTGAGAAACCTATTTTCTGATGCAGAATTTAAACAGTATTTAATGAAAAAAAAGTTGAAAATCACTACTATTGGTTACTACTGATCCACTCCAAAGAAACCTGTAATTCTCAGTTTGCTATTAACAGATCCACATCAGCAGCAATTAATTTTTGATGACCTCATCAATAATGTATCTTTGATATATTGCCAAATGACTTTTATTGTCCAGCACACTAAGGAGGATCAAAACCAGTTTTGTCCTTGCCCATCAGTTGACACCACTCATTCATTCCTATAGTCTGTGGTTTAAGGTCCATTTAGTTTTCACGGGAAAACTGAGTACGACGTTCATCATTTCTCTCGTCAGCTATGTAGTACATTTTATATTCAAGCTCTAGAAATACATGTGTTTTAAAGTTGTGTTGGTTCAAAGGATATGGCATTTGATTTGCAAACAGGTAATATTTTTCATCATCCTAAAACATGAAACTGTAGGTAATAATTGTAGCAGAATTAAGAGGCTAAGATTTTTGTCTGCTGGTGTTTTCTTTTAAGTAATTGTGATGGCATTTTTTCATATTGTAATATGTGCTTTTAGGAGTGAAGGAAGTTGAGTTTTTGTGACTGTGCCTTGATTTTTAATCTCTTTGTGAATGAAAAGCTATATACAGGCACAAATCCAGCAGCTTAATTCTCCATCTGATTAGAGCAGTGTTACCAACCTGATAGGTTGAAAACAGCCATGATCCATGCAGTGGCTCAGCCTCCTGGGAGGCAGAGTAATAACAATCAAATGAAGACATATTAAAATGTAATATTACTTCCTCTCCATGGGGACTGTATAAGAATCATAGCCAGAAACTGTTCTTGTCAGCTGACTCTGCTTCGTTCACTGATTCCCTGCCTCTGCATTTATGACTAATGCATTTCATACAATAAACAGCACTGTGGAGTTTTAAAAGCAAATAAATGTAAAACATTTACATGATTTACGTTGAGTTCTAGGCTTTTTTGTTTGGTTGGTTTGTTGTTTGTTTTGTTGAGGCTTTTGTTTGATTTTATATAATTCATGTATTTCAAAGAAGGGGAGGCAAATGTGAATGAAGTTTTTTGATCTAAATAATTTCATTTCTCCCTTGTGTACAGGGAGAGGAATATGTTAAGGCAGTGTTTTACAAAACTGAAAATATATACTAGCTTCTCTAAAGCATGTATCAGCAGACTCTTAACCATAATTTCATAACAGATAAGTGTTTTCTGAATGTTGAAAACCTAAATTGCATTCCTCATAAAATGGCAGCTGCTGTTGTATTCAAGGAATGCAGACACACAGTGTCTGATAAACTATTTAAAAAAATGCCAATAAGTTATTACAATTTTGTTAGAAAGTCTTACAATTTTTATTGCAATTATATATGTTTATTTGCTGGTGTGGTTTAACTGTTGACTGAATAATGCGCTTTTGGCTGTAATTATTAGTTTTGCAATTGACATCAGTGGAACAGGACAAGTCTCAGAAAACCAGAGCTATCTAACCATCAGAGGATTCAAAAATGTTTTACTACCTGTTTAGCAACATTTTACTTACTTTTAGGTTCATATGTATTGCTGTATTAATACAAAGTGTAGGATTCTGAGAACATTTAACTAATGAGAAACTTCATACTAATCATTATTTCTGTTTATTAATGTTAATATTTAAGTAGTATCTTGTCTTCTTAGCAGAGGGGCATGTAGGGTAGATCGTGTGTAAGAAATTGACTCTAAAATATGTCCATATTTAGACGTATATATATAAAAAAAAACCAAACCATATATAAAGATAAACTGAATGGAAGGTTTAAAATTTGATTATATAAACACACTGGAGAGTATAATTTCCATTTTAGACAGAAGAAAATTTGTGTCATGTTTCTGTGTTTATACCAAAACTACTATCACTTTTTTTTTTTTTTTTAAATATCCTTTCAGTGTGAGCAGAGCTACAGGTAAAGGGTCACTTTCCTACAGAGGTGTGAGTGCAGTGGCAGAGCTAACATGATAGTGGGTGTAGTTTTCATTTGGAGATCGATATAGAAAGGCCACAGCAAGTGTTTGAGGAATATTTTGTATTCGCTCCGTTGTTTGACTTCTGCACACTACACTGTCAAGGGGCATTAGCAGTATGAAACTGTGTTTCCTCTGCTGTCCCAGATTACTTCTTTGTGCAGCTTTTCAAAGCTTGGAATGATGTGTTTAAAGCTACCCACTTTCTTCCTGGTACACTAGGGATACGCAAGGTTATATTTCGATAGTCTTAATGAATTTCGAAAAATAATTTCCTCCAGTGGCCTTGGGTAATTGTCGGTTTAATTACAGGGAGAAGCTGAGATGGAAACTTTGCTTTGTCACTGAAATTCTCCTCTTTGAAAATTCCCCATTCCTCAGGACGTAGCAGTCTGTACTCTGAGCTATAACGTAGGGTTTCCTAAAATCCCTTGAAGAACTGTGGAAAAAGTGAATACTTCTGCAAATTCATTCATCTGACATCAAAGCTATGAAAGCATTCTTTTAGCAAGCAAGCGAGGCAGATTGCACTGGCGTAGACACACAACCAGACTCATTGTACATCTGGGTCTTCCCGTTTGGAGACTGTATTTGAAGTAATTTTGCATTCTTTTTGCCACCTTACTTTTTTATTCTGTACTGAGGTCATACTGCATCGTCTGCATCTTATTGAGGTCTCCTGCTCTGTGGGTTAAATGGATAGACCTTTAAAGAATAAAAAGGCATTGATGTTCAGAAGAAGCAGCACTTTATTCAATGAAAATCAAGTAGAAGGTATTTAAATGAGATGTGAATCCTCATTGCCTCGATTAAAAAAAAAAAAATCAAATAACAAAAAAACACAAGACAAAGTCAGTGTTTATTACTTGTAGGTTCAGTTGATACTCAGCTTTGGTATTTCTATTTACTGGTTTTTTTCTCCTTGTCCTTGTGCTGGTACATTGGAAAATAGATCATAAAAAACACTTTCAGCAAAGACACATTTGATTTATGTCCAGGATGGGTTCTTGCTATTGATTTTTTTTCCCTCTGGAAAAAAAAAAACAAAACAAAACAAAAGAAAACAAAACTATATGTCTCCATTATTTTCTGAGCCTGGCAATGCAGTGGCATATTTCAGATTAGCTTTTATCTTAAATTACTCAATGTGCTCTTTTGTATTTTAAAAAGTGTTTTTGCCATACATCTAATTGTCATGCTTTTACAGGGGGGAGGGAACAAGAGGAGGAACTGGGAGGGACCACTTATGAGGAGAAGGGAATTTTAGGAAAAGAAAGCACAATTTGGGAAGTTTGTATGGTGGCTGTAATTCGAGTTGGTCACAAAAGAGTCAGAAGTGGAACAAAAACAAGAAGCAGATCAAAGGCTAGGAAGCAAGGTTCAGCGGTATGGGGTTTATATCTTTACGGGTAGGGAGAAGATTAGAGCAAGAAAAATACTGCCATGGGGCTAGGAAGACATTGTGAAAGAAAAAGGAAATATACATAGACTGCATTTGAAAGAAAATCCCCAAGGAAGGTGAAAGAGAAGGAGTGAGAATTAAAAACAAAGACTTGAACAGTGTAAAGCCCATGAGCTGAAAGGAGAGGGGTAGAAACAGGCATGTGCTGCTTAAGCAGTTCACCACAGCCATGACAAGCAGTGAGCTTCCGTACAACCCATTTTTCATTTGTTTTCTCCAGTTGGTGGCCCAGTGCTGATGCCTGGGCATGCACCCTCTCCCGTGTCTGTTTTGGGCTTGGAGAAACAGCTCCAAGAAAATGATGGTGAAATTTCCATCCTCAGAACAACCAGGGCAGGCAAACCTCTGGTGCATTCCCTGCATAGCAAAGCCGGAGCCCACCGTGTGCAATTGCACCCTCTTTGCCACCGTGCCCAGGGCACCACCGCACATGCCGACGGTGGCCAGTGCCCAGCACGGCGCAGAGTCACCGCAGTGCCGACCGCTGAGGAGCTGCTGAATCATTTTCCAGCAGATGTTTTGCAACCAACAGCTGTCTTGGGCAGCAGCGGCGCACCCATCGTACACCGTGACTCAATGTTTTGGGTTCTCCAAGGGAGTGGTGCTTCGCTCTCGAATCACATGGCAGTGTCGGTTTGCGCCAGGGTTGCCTGGTTCCAGCTGGCACCTAGATAAGCGAGAACAATATAAACACGGGGGAAAGCACCATGTTGTTCATATGAGCTAAAAGATTTCCATGAGAGTAGAGTGTATTCCCCTCTGCCTCCCACCCTGGCGGAGGCTCCTCAGTGCTGAGAAAAGTGAGATTGTGCTTTAAAATATTAAATGGTTTTCCAATCAGTTCAGAATCTTAGCTTTCACCTGGGTCTTTTGTGTGCATTCACTTCTTCCAGCAGGAGATTTGTAATAGAGGAAGCAGGTGTAATATGGTGATTATAAAGATATTGTTGGGTTTGGGGGAGGAAAGGGTGATTTTTCAGCGCTTTCCTTCTCTGAGCCTGCCAGAGCTTCCTTTTCAGCTGACTCCATCACATATTAGCAAGGCACTGTGTTTTTGTACAAAGCAGTCAGTCAATTGCGCATAGGAAAAAAAGGTTGCTGGGTAAATTTGAAACAGTGATAACACATTCCTTCATTTATATATATTGTACAGCTTACCAATGTGTTCATTCCTTTGGCTTTCAACATTTCACAACTTTCCATGGGTCAGCCCAAGCAATAAGAATAGGTCCTGGTAGATTGAAAGATCCCTGCTTTCAGACACTCATGTTCACATCACTTTGCCTGTTGATTTCCTGTTTTTTATTTATTTTTATTTTTATTTATTTTTCTTTTATTTTTAATCAGCAACATCAAATGGGTCTTTGGAGGGCCTGGATAACCAGGAGGGAGGGGTGTGCCAGACAAAAACCATGAAGATCCTCATGAAAGTTGGACAAGGTAAAGACCATCTGCTGTTTCATGAAATCACTTTGATCGGTCTCAATGTCCTTTTTAGCTTTCAGGCTTCTTTTAGCGGTGCAGAGCAGAGAGCCAGTCGAGTCTAGTGTGGTCATTCCTCCCTTATAGTCTGAAAGCGACGTCTATTTTCTCTTCCTCAGCTACTGACAGATTTCTACAGAAGGAGGGTTAGCGTAATAGGATCTCTTCATTGGAGAGATCCCTAGAAGGAAAAAGGTCACCTGGGAATAGTGTGTTTCAGTCATTTTTATTTGTATTTTAAAAACAAAAGCCACAACTCTGCTGCTTAAAATTATTTAAAATACATGAAAAGAGGGAAGCTAATATTTCTGTAGTTTGCTTGTTATGAATTCTGATTACAGAGAGGTTTTTGTTCATTGTCTCTTTTCACATATAGATAACCTATTGTGCAGGAAGAAAGAATTATTCTTCTAAGCAGAAGTTGGTTTAGTAGTCAGTCAACTTCCTCAGTTAAACTGAAATGTCATCTGCAAAGCTTTTCTTGCCAGTCACAGGAGTCCCTATAGTTTCTGCAGATGGCCTCACAGTTTAAACAACTGAAATAATATAACCACTTTGCTTTAAAAGGAAAATTATGTTCTTATATCTTCCTGTCCTTTGCATAAAGATTCTTCTGCTAAACCATTTGTGTCTCACGAGGTACTTAGAGCTGGCATATAAGGCTCCATACCATCAAATGCCAAAGGTGCATGAGTCGTCTTTCTCTCCCCCAGATCCCAACTCAGCAGGGCTGCCCCGGCACACGGATCCCACCAAGCGCCCCGAGCAGGAAGCTGGCACCAATGGGAAGAGTTCCACCACCAGCCCCTTTGTGAAGGACCACTCAGGTATGTGTGGTGGGACTCCAGGATGTCTCCTCCTTGTCCCAAATGCATTTTATTTTACCATTGAAGTGCCAGAAGAGCAAATATTTTCATAGTGAGATGAAACAAAAGCCAGTTCTGCTGCTCCAGTCGATAGTGCCTTGGAGCTGCAAGTTTTCACAACAGCTGCTCTGACCCCTCTTCCACTCTCCTGCAGAAGTTCATTATGTCTGGTGACAATATCACTCATTTACAGGAAAGTTTTTGGATAGGACATTTGCTAAGCAGCTTTACAGTGGTCAGTGCTGCTTTACGTTTAGTACTCTGGCAGATGAACTAGTCTCTATCTTTCTCTTCCCATATAAGACATTATCAAGTGGTTCTCAACAGCCATTTATAAAGTTTATTTCAAGGCATCTATAATTAACGTCCTAATCTTTTAGCTGAGCATATAAAGTCTACACATGGCTGGTCTTTTACTAAATGCAAAGATTCTTTGTTTTCTAATAACTACCTAAACAAAATAAACAGATGATTCCAAACAAATACCTTCAGGATGCACTGCGTTTGTTAGGTGAACAAGAAAAAACCTAACTCTTAAGACTGAAGGTGTCCTGAAGAAAATTCAGTGAATTGGGAATGCTGCAAAAGCAAAACTTGCTGACGGGTGATTCTGGGTTTCCTGAAAAAGGCTGCAAGTTTTGCTTGCTAGCTCTGTCATTAGTTACTGGGCTAATGAATCTTTGATATAGTGGTCACTAGGAAGGCTTTGCTGATTCCTATAGAGGCTTCGGTAGGAAGATTTAACAATTACGTGAATGTGGCATCTGTATCAGTCTTCCATTGATAGTGAGCATCAAGAGAGGGAAATTGGTTCAAACTTTCAAGAGAGAAAGGGTCAAGTAAGCATTCGTTTAATTTTTGTGACAAATAATGTGATGGTGTGATAGCACCAAATATTCAACACACTATTCAGCACGTGAGCTTTTCCTGACTACCAAACGCATGGTATTGTTTTCTTTTAATTAAATGTTAGTTAATACAAACAGATACATGCTGGAGTTATTTTGCCTGTCTCCCACACTGCCTCAAGCTCCTTTGTTTCATGTGCAAGCAAGGGAAGTCCACGTAAAGAGGTACTAAGGATGGTTTAACTTAAATCAATATACAAAAGATAAAATAGCAGCGGGAACACTGTGACACTGAACAGTACCAGTTGTTCTGAGAATTGTCATTTCCTTGTGTTATATTCAATTCCAGTCCTATCCCACCCCTTTCTTGTGCCCGGGGCTGGCCAGCATCTGTTAAAAGATGCAGTGTGCATCAAAGGCTGCCTTGTCAGTGCCAGTCCTTGCTGCTGATGGATGATGATGTATGAAACAGAGTGGTTTGGGAGCAGCACAAAAGTGAGACCAACAGACACAAAGTCTTGTTTAATATTGATTGCTGACTTCGGCTGTTTGCATTTAGCTATCTAACAGGGTAATTGGTTTGTCAAACTTTAGCTGTCAGTTGATTCTTCCAGTGATGCTTACTCTACAAATTTTTAAGCAACGTAAACAGGTTGCAGGATGGCAATAACTTTTGTCTATTGTATTTCCATTCTTTCCAGGATCTAGCACAGATGGCAGTAAGGCTGGGCATTCCAGTATACTGGGTTCAGAGGTGGCCTTATTTGCAGGGATTGCATCAGGGTGCATCATTTTCATCGTCATCATCATCACTTTGGTGGTTCTTTTGTTGAAGTACCGGAGAAGACACAGGAAGCATTCCCCGCAACACACGACAACTCTGTCACTTAGTACATTAGCCACCCCAAAACGCAGTGGCAACAACAATGGTTCTGAGCCCAGTGACATTATCATTCCTCTAAGGACTGCAGACAGTGTTTTTTGCCCCCACTATGAAAAGGTCAGCGGCGACTATGGACATCCGGTGTACATAGTTCAAGAGATGCCTCCTCAGAGTCCAGCAAACATTTATTACAAGGTCTGAAAACACACAACCTTCTCTGTGGTACAGTTGAGTCGTTGAGGAAACTCACTGGTCAAATGCTTTCTGTTGGGGTTTGTGATGATGCCTGGTGCGCTAGCATTGACTTAAGCACAGGGGGGAGAAAGCAACAGCTCTTTCTCCAGGAACCAACGCGAGCTGGACAGCTTACCTAGTCTGTAGAATTCCTATCTCAGTGAATAAGTATTCACTAAAAGCTGGAAGACTTTTATGTAGAAGATGCCCATTCTGATTGCTGTACTCTTGTTACATTCATCATCCTCAAAGCCATGTGCTGTGGGCGTTCAGGCGTGTACAAAAGCCAAGGGAAGATGGAGCAATCCGTGGATGTTAATAGCTCTAGGCATCCTGGGAAGGTGCTCTAGGATATATCAACCTTGAAATGCAATCTTCTGACTTTTGTGTGTCTCTCTCAGTGCGTACTGGATTTGTCACACAGACCTTGGTGTCTAAGTAAGACTTGTTGAAGTTCTCTCGCTTTTAGTCTGTCACTGTTCCATTTGTTTCTGTTATCCAGGGCTCTGCCATCCTTCACATAAGATTTCCTTTCACTCCACCTCCTGAATCACTAATGGAACATTAATGTTTGGAGATCCACACTCCATCCATCTGCTACAGCAGCCTCACTTGAATGGGTAATGCATTTATAAAAAATTGTGTTTGATAGTAAGGAGCCTTCCAGCCAAATAGTTAGGCTGTCAACAAAGTCAAGAGCAGGACTGGGTGGTGGAGGGAAGGGCTGATTGCAGTTGAATATTGCTGCCTCAAAAATAGAAACTGGGAAGAAAAAAAAAATACATTTAGGTAGCACAGCACTTTGGTATTCTAAGTTTTAAGAGGCAAGTAGGAAACACAATAACATGCACAGTGGATTAAGGCTGCATTTGAAGGAATTCATGGTTATCAAATACCAGTGTGCAGAAAAAACTAGAACCTTCGATACAGTAGAACAGAGGGGTATTGTTAGTAAGTGAACAAGCCTGGAGAAGACAAGACAATAGCAGGCCGCTGAGGATTATATTAGGGCAGGGCTGATGTGGTACTGGCAATAAGATACACAGCTTTGAAGCTGTAGGGGAAAACATAGTCTGCTTTGGGTGACTTTTAAGCAGACTCAGCTGCTATACTATCAGATTATACTAAACACAGGGAAAGCATTTAAGAAAATAGCAGAGAGCCAAGTCTGACCAAGAAGATTATAAGCCAACGGGTCAAATGAGCTAATTCTGTCACTGGTGAAGTTGTAGAAAAAAAAAACAAAAAAGCAACAAACCACAAAACCTTTCTCATCTCTAAAAGTAAGGCAGAATTTCTTTCTGACTGACCCTTTTGGCACTTTGGCTTATTGTTGTGCTGTCCCTGCACAGTGAGTGTAGGTACTGTGACTGACACAGCTGTTCATTGGTGCTCTGTTGCAAAGTGAAAGCACATATGGCAAACCTCTTACAGTCCATAAGAATAAAATAAATTATGACACTGAGATGGAGAAGGAAAATATGTCTTATTTATAATAGGTGTATAGAACACAAGGGATATAAAGTGAGATTTTTTCTTTCATTCATTCTTTCTTTTTATTTTGGTTTGGTTTTTTTACTAATATATATTTTGAGATTGCACAGAATCTACACCAGAAGATGTGAAATTCATTTGCGGCAATTACATAGTCTTAACTTGTTATCATTTTACATATATATATGTGTGTGTATATATGTATATACACATATATATGATTATATATGCATACATATGCATATATATTTATGCATACGCACACATTTTTTTATAAAATTAATTACTTCTGGGAAAGAAAAATCAGCCATCCAAAAATAACAATGGGAGCATATTTTAAAAAATAAAAATTCCAAAGCATCTCATAAGAGAAAACCAGGAAATATAAGGCCCAAAATATCAAGAAGTCAGTTTTACTGCATCACATATTTAACAGTGATAAGGTGTGCCGGCATTTATTTATTTTCTGTGTTGTGATTTCCCTTGCCTTACAGGCTGATGTGTTCTGTAGATTTTGTTGAGGTTTGTAGAGGGAGGTTTCAGGTTAAAGTTTTCTCTTTAGCATGGCTGTTCCCCTAAAGCTCCCACCCTGGGGAGGAAGTAAAAAAACTCTACTTTTATATGTGCTATGCAAATAGACATTTCTAACATAGTCATGTTACTATGGTAACACTTTGCTTTCTGATTTGGAAAGAAAATGTAGCAACAGCATTTTAGGGTTCTCAGACGTCCAGTGAGCCCCTGAAAAAAAAAAAAAAAGAAAAAAAAAATCTGTTATAGAAATGATCACTCTCTTTGTTTTCTGAACCTGAGGGTTATATTGGGATGTTGGTCCAAAAGAGAGAAACAAAAACAAAAAAATCTCAACCCATGGTTCTGTGGAAGGTTACCATGGTGACTAACTACAGTACATATGTAATTCTTTTCAACAACCTTTCCTTTCTGTGAATCCATCCATACAAGGTTCTCTTGTAAGTCATTAAGATTTTGTTTTGGGGGAGGGGGAGGAAGGGAGAAGATGGGTTTACTGATACTGATTTTTATTAAATCATATCTATGCTTTGTCAGTTGGCCACATTCTAGTTACATACTAAACTGTGAAAAAAATCATCAGATTAATTGCTCAAGAGCAACCTGCAACCAATTGAAAAAAAATGTACTGTGCGTCTGTTTTGTGTCTGGTGCAGAATTATGACAATCTACCAACTGTTCCTTTCTTTGACGTTGGTCCAGCTTTGAAAAGTTACTGTAAATGCCTTGCTTGTATGGTCATCCCTAGTCACCTGAATTGGAATTTGCACCATCATGTCTAAGTGAAGATGCTGTAAATAGGTTCAGATTTACTGTATATGGATTTCGGGTGTTACAGTAGCCTTATTCACCTTTTTAAATAATTAAAAAAAGAAAATCCACATGAAAACAAGACAAAAAAGGCTTTTCTTAACCAGATTGTGTATATAGAGCAATGTTGGTTTTTTATAAAGTCCGAGCAAGATGTTTTGTATAAAATTTGAATTTTGCAATGTATTTAGCTACAGCTTGTTTAAAGGCAGTGTCATTCCCCTTTGCACTGTATTGAGGAAAAAAAATTATATAAAAGGTTGCCAAATTGCCGCATATTTGTGCTGAAATTGTGTACCATGAATATTTATTTAAGAATTTCTTTGTCCAGTTTGTAAGTAACACAGTATTATGTTTGAGTTATAAATATTCTTATTTCCTTTTTTCTTTTCTTTTTTTTTTTTTTTATGTTTGTTTTGTTTGGTTTGGTTTTGGTTGTTTGTTTGTTTCATTCTGTATTAAAACTAGCCGGTCATAAGTTTGAAATCTGCTTTAGTTCCACATTGCAATTAGTTCCCAGAAAATGAAAATTATGAAAATCACATTCCACGTCTGTTTCAAACTGAATTTGTTCTTAAAAAAATAAAATATTTTTTTCCTATGGAAACCTTGCCTTCTAAGTATTTTCTTCTTTTGTTTTGCATTTTTTTCTTTCTTAAAAGATGAAAATAAATAAGAAAGCCACTAAGCTTGCCTGCATGCCTGCCTCCCTCCCATTTCTCCCTTTCTCCTCTCCCCCATCTCTCCAACCTGATTGCTAGTGGTTAATGGGAAAAAAAGCTTCTTAGAATACACTGACTTGTGTTAACCTACTTCTTTCCCAGACACCCTCTTACATATATCAGCAGATTTTAGAAAACATCTGGGTATCCTATGCCCTTGGAAGTCAGTGAACTCCAATCAGGTGCAGTAACCAGGTTGCCTGGATGATCTTGGAGGTGAGATTATAACCACACAGATAATTCCCAGACATTATAAGGTGGGCTTACACTGTGACCAGAATCAGAGAAAAAAATACACCTGAAGCCTTCTGGATACTGTTGTCACTGCTTCTCCAGAGGAGGGGAAGCAGCAAGCCTGGAGTGGCAGGGGCTGAGCAAGAAGGGACAGGAGATGTAAGACCTTAGGAGGATGATGAAGGATTAGAAAGGCTGCAAAGTCAGAGCATCTCTGCATGGTTCTTTCAGTGGGGCCATGCATTGTCCTGTCCCCACTTTACTGCACCGTAAGGGAAATGGAGGCCCACATGTGCAGGTAGCACAAGCCTTAATGCAAGATCTGTGGTTGTGCCGCTGTAATTTTCACTAGAATAACAAATTCGTTTAATAAATAATACCTTAATTTTCTGACAAAGTGTGGTCACCCTGAAAGTGAAGCACCATTCAGTTTGTTAGCAGCACGTAAATAGCATGATCATCATGGAGTAACAGGTGGGAGGGTCTACAGAGGGCAAAGATGCATTTGTCACTTTAACAGCGTATGCCAATTTGTCATAAAATTTTCATTGAAGAAAGGCAACTAGTTATTCATAGTATGGGTCATGCAATTCCCATTTGTCAAATTATTTGTTCTTTTGTGAATAATCAGAAAAAAATGACTGTATGGCAAAGACACTTAGCATGTCGCAATGGGACAAGTACCCTGAAACAGGACATACAGAAAATCCTAGACTGGGGGATGGTTGGACTAGCATGACAGTTTGCTGATGGAGCTCATTTTAGAGGTCCAGTTTACAGAATCTGTGCTGGAAGTTGACCTTAATAGGAAAGTCACACAGTGGCACTCAGGTTTGCCTTCTGACTCCGCTACAGGTGTCTTTGGGAGAGTTACTTGTTCCGGCAGAAGGCGTGTGTGCTCACAGTGGAACATGTGAACATCATCTGGCATCTCAGTAAATCACTGGGGCCTAATCCTCCATTTATGTCTGTAAGTCACTTGAAAGGAGGTAGCCTTGTGTTCTCTGAGCACACAGATCCTTGGCTGGACTGAGTTTTTACTCCCTGCTTTGCACTTGCACACAGGATTTCACTTGCTCATCTCGGTGGGTTGTCATGAGAGTTCCCATGTTGTTAATTTGCTGTGAGGTGCTCAGGTCTGGTCTATGCTGAAAGCTTGTCTGGCACAGCCATCTGTTAGAGCTGTGGCTCTAGCTTAGTGAAGGCTAAGGCTATTGTTTTTATTTTAAGTGCTGGTAAATACAGGAAGATGCTGATAAAAAAAAATAATTGAATAGTGTCAAGTTTACATGGCATTTTCATTACTGTGCCTCTTTTTTCAAACAGATATATAATTTTTTATTATATTTATAACTAGCATGTATACTGACACCCATGGACACCTATTTTTGTCACTGTTACAGCAATAAAGGAAGATCAGTGTTGCTATAAACCACGTCTCCACTGGGGGGGAAAATGGTTGCCAGTGTAACTATCTGTATATTTACGCCTGGGGCCAAGGTTGCTTGGTTAATGGGAGTGCCTTGCACACATACCTTCCCAAACAGAACAGACTCTCCATTGAGTCTGCTGAACTCATTTTGGTAAAAGATATGTGCCTTAGATACTCAGCATAAAGTTATTGACTTATAACCCACCTCTTATAATTTCCAGAGGGAAAAAATCATACTTGCATTTTGTCCTGCTGTTAACGGTGCACTATTAATTATCAAACAAGCACCAAATGAGCACAGAATTTACTGCCTTTATTACAAAACTGGTTCTCTGGCAAGATCTAGTCCAAGTCAATAGGCTCCACTAAGTGGAAAATAAAAGTATAATTCACAGTTGTTATCCATCTAGAGTGGAATAAGATCTGTTTCATAAAATAGTGCCTCACTAAGTAAGCATAACAGTGTTACTGCCTAGGTTTAAAATTATGTACCTCTTCTTTGGCCTATCTCTTTAGCTTTGCTGTGATGCATTGATTGAATGCTCGCTCAGTCAGCAGCACACTTGTTTTGATTCTATGGGCACTGTAAATTTTCTTTTTGCAGAAAAGCTTAAAATTTTGTAGTGGTTAGTAAAACAAAGGACAATGAAAACTCAGTCTTTCTAAGTGACACTCTCCATCTTCATGACCACAATACAAATTTTGGTGGGCAAAAATCCCGGGTTTTAAAAACACCAAACAGTCCTTATACAGTTGGCATGTCATTACATGAAGCATCACACCAGAAATCAAGCAATATTTGGTTTGGAAAAAGATGAGTATTGGAGTATATACCACAGTGTATTCATGATTGTGCCATTCATAATCCAAATGGTGCTGGATTCAGCTGACTGAGCTATTGTTTATGACACAAAATAATATCCATCCTTCACGTGACTGGTGGAAATACTTTGATGCTTAATTAAAGGACAATGTAATCCATAGCAAACCCTCTTGAGAAGGAGGGGCAAGAGCCTGCCCATACACGGTGAGGATGAAGGGGTGGAGCTGCAAGTGGCTGCTCCTGGGAAGTGCCTGTGGAGCAGAGGAAGGAGGCAAGGAGAGGGAAGGTGTGTTAGAGGGTGATGACTCTCTGAGGAAGAGGCTGGGAACACCTGCAATGACAAAATCCCAGGGAGAAATCAGAGCAAGGTGACAGCTTTGGAGGGAGGTAGAGAAACAGCTCTGGGAAAGGCTTTGGTGGAAAAGAGGTCTCAGCAAGCAGAAGAAAATGTTGACAGATGGAAGGCAAATAAGTGTAGTATTTGGTAAGTATTGGTTGCTGTTTCAGGTAGGTAAGGAGATCAGGCCAGGTTTTGGTAAGTATTGGTTGCTGTTTCAGGTAGGTAAGGAGATCAGGCCAGGTTGTTCTGCTAGACATTGAAGGAAGACAGAGCCTAGACGGGATGGAGATCCCAGACCAGAACTCAGTGTTTTCTGCAACTTGAGATCATGTGAAAAAGAGATCAGAGATCTGCAAGAATTGAATAACTGCAGGACTATTCAAATTCCAAATAGGAAAGAACCTTGTGCACAGCTGTCATAACCCCTGAAATAGGACTTGTGTTTTCGTAAGTGCATTGACAGAGTCTCACGTGCTTAGACTGCTCAAATGCAATTATTAAATTAATAATATGGAGAATCCATTGAAGGTGGGAGGATAGTTGCTTCTAGATCAGACCTTCAGAGGATATAAATTAACACAGTACAGTTTGATATCTGATCCTACTTATCACAGTTCAGAATTGCACATGCATAAGCAATACTTATACAGATTTTATTATAGCTCTTAGCTATGAGAAAATGCTTTATAACAGTGTTGTCCTGAATATTATGAAGACTGTACTCAAAAAACATACCAACAATTACTTGCTTTTATAAAAAGACTGCTATTAAATGCCATAAAAATTGTTATTTGTAGTTTATTGAACATTGTCAGCAATTTGCTGTATCTGTTCATTAAAAGTAGGTTGGATTATTATAAAATGTGTAATAAAAAATTGTTCACTTTTAATGTTTCTTTTTGTCCTCTCTTTAATATTTAAACTCATTCCTTCCTACTTACAATTCGATTCCATATGCATAACCGGCAGGTCAGCTGTGCCCTGTCAGTATTTGTTCATCCCCCACATGCCATGTTCTCGGTGCTTCCAACTCTCTTAATTCAATCAGTGTATCTAATTTTGATTGTCTTTAAACTCAGCTATTGGAAGCATATAATCACATGAATAATTTAGTAATTATGCAGAATCAATAGCGTTATAACCTTCATCCCCATGAGCAGTATGGGAGGATGTAAGGCCAGAAGGCCAAAAGAGTTCTTCATGTCACTCTGAAAAATCTCGAGATTTGGGGAAATTCAAATGATGGTACAAGAGCTGAAAATAATTGCATGTGCTGCTTTTGCTTCACACTCTTTCCTTCATTATGTCTTATGTTTTCTTTTTGTACATAAACAAAGCACATGTGAATTTTCTAAGCCTCAAAACAGTGCTCAAGCTGTAGAGATCCATATGGCTGGGTCTGGAGGTCTTTTCTCAAATTTCCACTGATTAGAAAAGGGTGGCTGTTTTCCTTCAGCCTGTTTATTGCACACCCTGATGCCATGCCCTGATCACCTGCTCAGTACGCCAGCCCTGCCTATCCCAAAGCTTTTGCTGGGGATTTGTACCTTTCCAGATAAGGTTTCATTTCCGGACAGAGCTTTTGTTGCTCACCCTGAAAGTTTCTTTTCAAATGTTGCTCTAGGCTTTCCTCTTTATATGGCTGGCTCTGGCTGAGCCAGTGACAACTTTTTTCTGAAAAAAAAATAAAGTTCTGATGGAACACAGGAACAATCCTTGTACCAAGAGTGTGTTTTCTTATAAGCCCCTTATTTTTCAATCAGCTTTAGTTTGAATTTTTATGTGGCTTTATCTCTTCCTTTTGTATTTATTCAATTGCATCTGAAAGAAAATAGCATGCAGTAAAATTCCTAAATACAATTTAAATATAGCTCATTTCAATCCACTTGGGTTTACATTTCCATTCATCAATACATTAAACTAAAAATATCTCAGTTGGCTTTGTCTTGTTTCTTGTAATTTAAGAAAAATTATTAAATCTAGTAAAATCTCTTTTCAGAAAAGTGTAAGCAGTTCACATTGGAAAGATCATTTGAGCAGAATGAAGAAGCA